GTTTGTGAAATACAGGATTTTGGTATTGTTTAAAACACTGTGTTTAGTTGTGTTGATTCTTTTGGTTTCATTAAGTTCAGAAAATGTATGAATGCTGAATATTTCTTATTACTATTATAAACTATTTTTTTAAGAAGTACAAAATTTCTTTTAGCTCTACATGTTTGGAACTAAATACTTGCACTATATTTCTGCCTACCTGCCTTAAAAAGAAATAATAGTTTAACTTTATCTTTTCCTGTTGTCCCTGATGCCTTGGAGTGGCTACCTTGAACAAAGGCTAGACAGAGTTAGAGAATAAAGTAGGTAGTTATTAAAGGCCTTCAATAGATACACCTTGGGCAGTGTAAAAGCCTCGCAGAGGCTACACCCAAGATGGACAATGGTCATGAGTTTTTCAATTATTAGTTTGGTTTATTTGCATATGAGGGGTTAAATCTCCAATTACAGCTTCAGGAAATTAAGTCATATTCCCCCAGCTCCCTCCCCCTCAACTCACTTTTGTTTATGCTTTTGGGGCCTGACGCTGTGGTGTGTCCTTGGATCACAGGCCCAGAGGGATTGTTTTGTCTAACCGAAAAGTGAGGACAGTTTCTACACTTTATATGGAGTTTAGAGCTATGCCCTATTGCAATAAGGGATTTGAAAAATGTAAAAGCTAAAATCCTAAGTTATCATCCCAACAAGCTGGATATGATACACCTCACCTACCAAAATGCTGTATTTCTGACACATCTCACGTGTTAACTAGAGAAGTTGTCTAAATGCAGAATAAGAATAAAAAATGGTCATCACTCTGAACTTGCATTTGAGTGTGAGGTACAACTAGCAGATGCAGGCAGATGAGAAATGCAAGTGACCGTGTTAGTTAAGGTGACAGTCAGGACCCTCAGCACAGCAGAAGTGTGACTGTCATTTTGTATTCAGGCATTGGGAAAGGCAGTGCTCTAAGGAGATTTGGAAAACTGCAATAAAACAGCTTGCAGATGTTTCTGAGATGCTAGAAAGAGGAGTGTGATGCAGCACAAAGGTGATTGTTTTAGAATTGAAGGAGAGTTCAGCGGGGACTGGCAGGAGTTCTGAGCAGCCCAGCCATCCTATTCATTTTTGATGATGCAGAATGGGAGAAACTTGTTATCCAGGACCAGGATATGTTAGACCAGTTTCTATGCTCTCTCCTTCTGCAGCCTCCAGATGCTGTCTAAATTGTGTCACTTTAAACAAACATCTGTAGGACACATAGAATACCTTTTACCCAGAGGGGAAGTATAGGAAAAAAAGACAGCATAAGCGAATTAACTGGAGAAACACACTGTATCGTCCTCACAATTTTGGAGAGGACAGAGATGGAGAAGGCAGAGACGAAGGAGCAGAAATTCAAAGGAAAGTTGTTACACACCTATGTTGTATCTGGCTCAGTAAGCTTAGTTCACACATTTTTTCTCCTGCCTTCCTAAGGCTCTCTTGACTGTGTTTTATCAAAAATGGCTGTTTTGCAGCAGCATAGCATCTTATGGATCATTCCAGTGCTGTCCTTTCTGATACAAATGTTTAGCTGTGGCTCAGCTTTCTATTTTCTTTTCTCTTTTTGCTCTTAATCAAAATTAAAAGTTATTTGCTTTGAAAGGATGGGTTTATTCCTGCAAGTGGAAAAAACAATGCTATATGTTACAACTTTCTTAAGCACCTGTACACACAAGGCTCATCTGGTAGTGGTACCTTATTCAGCAAATCCCAGAAATGAGCAGTTATCTCCAGATGACAATGTGCTGTGCTCTTATGACAAACAGTATTTTGTCATGCAAGCTTTGGAAGCCAAATTTAGCAGTATTTTGGTAAAAGCTTTACAAAATGTAACCATAGCAAACTAAATCCTCATCCGCAGATAATTAAAAAAACTTTGTATTAAAAGAGACCAAAAAACCCATACAATGTCTTTCCTCCTTGGTTCCACATCTACACATGGTACACACTCTATCACCTGCTAACTGGCTACCTGCATTACCAGATTTTTTTGTTTTGTTTTGTTTTTGTTTTGTTTTTAAATATAGAATGCAAGTAGGTGCAGTTACCTTAAAAAAAATTGAAAAAAATTGGGCCTTTTCATACTTATTTAGCCTCACCAGCATTATCTGTGTCCCTGCAGCTGCTGTTTGGATTGCAGCCACTTTTAATTCCTATTTCCCAGGTGCCACACGGTGGAGCTCCTGACTCCGCATTGCTCGGAGGCAGCCCTGAGCTGGCTGAGAGCAGTTCCAGATGCTGTGTGCGTACCAGAGCTGATCTGGGAGACAGGGCTGCACACAGCTCTGCAATGAGGGGTACCATGCCACGGGATGGGGGATGTACTTTTCTCCCAGGACTCAGATGCCAAATCAAATATGGGAAGAAAGAGCTGAATAATATCAGCTGACAAAAATCTTCAGTATTGTACATGTATACACATATAAACATATAGTTAATCTCTTTTACACTTGATTGCAGTGTGAATTTTGTATACTGTTTTTGTTTCAGTAGGCCTTGCCATTTCCGGCTTTCTCAAGAGAAGGCTCCTGCAGGTTCACAGCTCAGTATCCTCCTGGCACTAAGGATGACATCCTTCTCTCCAGATCTATGACAAAAATGCAGAGAATCAAGGCAAAGAGAGGGGAGATGTGCCTCCTTCTCCATCTAAGGAGGGACCAGTGCAGAATCAGGAGGTGCCTAGCCTTGTGTTGATTGGAAGGTCTCTTCTTCTTATAAGAAAATCTCCATATCCCAGACGGTATCTGTACCAAGCTTATAGCTCAGTAAATTCAACAGGAATTATTTCAATGATTTATAGATACTCTGAATCTTGTTCTGTGCACCATAGTGATCTTTCAGCTAGAGTTGAGCTCTGTGCATTTAGAAGTTAACCTCCCTCTGAGAGTTTCAGATATCTTTACTAAAACTTGGATCAGGCACTTAGCCATTCATGTGAATCTAACTTTTAAATTGTGTGAAGCCATCTTTTTGATTAATTCTTATAAAAACAATTGAATGTGTGACTTACAAGGGTAATTACTTGTGTTTATCTTTGAATAATTTGCAAAAGATTAATCAGATTTGTATAGTGTACTACACTAGTAGGTGATCTAAAAGAGGAGCTCTAATTATGTCTATGTACATTGGACAGTATGAACTTTTTGGGACTGTCAGTCATGTAATCTATATAAACACTCTGTTCTGTAGTATGTCATTAGCATACATTTTTAAAAGTTTATCTTTTCTGTCTTTACATGTCTTAGGATAATATATATATATATATATATATATATATCTTCCATAAAACCAAAATCCGGCTATTGAAAAAGTGCCTTTATTTATTCTTCAGTTTACAGGCAAATTCCAAAGTTTTATGTGATGGGGTCCCCTGAATCTGAGGAAGCATGATTAGTTTCTGACATTACTATTTCCATAATTATCCACTGTGTGTGTCTCTATAAAGAGTTAATGCTAAACAGAATTCTTTACTTTTATTAAATATAATTGTAAACAATTCTCCAAACATGAGTAAATGAAGGGTACAGCTGGCAGCTGACCTTTGGTAAGAAATGAGACATGACTAGATATGCTCAGGAGGCACCTCTGTGCATTATATAAATGGACTTAGAGACCATGTCAGGCAGCATTAACCCTGTCCATGTCGACGAGTGACAGCTATGTACTTCTAGTGCAGCCAAAGACAAACATTGAAAATAATTAAATGCCATTAATATGAAAAGTACACATTGATATTTTGAGTGAGTTCACTATGAGCAGGAACAAATAATCAGGGTTGTATTTGCAATGAATGATGTCTCTGATGGGTGGTGGGTATAGACAGGAGAAAAGCCTAAGCTGAAGTAAACTGGAAGTGCAAGCTGGTGTGTCAGAGCTAGCTACTTGCACCCTCACAGGCTGATAATTTACTATTGATGGTATTTTGTGAAATGCTGAATTGAATTTGTCCTCACTGGCAAGAAATCCTGAGTGAAATTTTCTCCTTGAGATGTCATGTAATGGAATCACCCAGACCAATCCAGAGACCTCTTTATTCTGTCTTTATTCAGTCATTACATAAATGTAACTACAAAGTCAGATTCTAATGAATACATTAAAACATAAAAGCTTGGTGCCAAGGAAAGATGTAAAATGTACATAAGTTTCTGTATGTGTAGACTTGTAGAGACTTAGAGGATTTATGTCCTTTGTTTCCCTCCTCAGAATGGATTAAAAGATCAGTATTTTACTGACCCTATATCAGAAAATGTTGTTGAGGATAAACTGCAAGTATTGAACTAGTCACCAAAATGTGAATTTCTAGAAGCCATTAAGAATGCATATCCACATAAGTGCAGAGCAAGTTTCTGAAAAAGCCTAAATCCACTCCTGCCAACAGGTCCTTATGCAATATTGTTTTGTGCACTGGCTCACAGCTGACTTTCAATGCCATTTTAAGAGCTTAGTGCAAATTCTTACCCAGACCTTTGGTGACTTCCCCTCTTAGGCAAGGACTCATGCATGCCTGAGCACACTCCTAGGAAACACAAGGACCAACACTTCCCCCTTATAGCTTAGCAGAGTGTACCCCTAGCTCATCCTGGAGCACAGCTCAGCCTCTTTACCCATAGCACTTTATGCTCATCCCCTGCTGCCAAAAGGACAGCACATCCAAGTCTACTGATTTCAACACATCTGCTGGGAAGACAAAGCTTGAACAATAAAACATACAGATTTTTTTTGCTTACATTAAGATAAAGGGTTCAAAACAAAAGGTCACAAATAAAACTATTTTAGTGAGTATTTTTCCTCCATGCCTTTTCAGTTGCTGTAATATATTTGGTTTATAACAATATATAAATAATATATTTATATAATGTATATAAAACTGGGATTGCTGTTCTTGGGGTTAGCAGTTGGAGGTCTGGCCACCCAGGTCTCTTGCATATATTCTGTTCTCTGAGTACTGAATAATTTTCTCTCTTTTCCTTCTAGATATACTACACTCAGCTTCTCCTTGATTCCCTGTAAATGGAGTATTGAAGGCTAGGAAAAAGAGAAGGGGAAAAGGCTAATGGTAAGAAGGAGATACATTCTGTCTGTTTTCCTCTGCTCTGTTGATACACCTGCCTTCCTGGATGTCTTCGTGCTTTAACTTAAAATTACTTTTCTCATGTCTAGATGTTCTTGTGTACTTTTTTTCACTATTCATTTTTCCTTTCTTTTTTTTTTTTTTTCCCTTAAGTTTACAGTATTGAAATAGCACACATGGAAAACATCTATTCTCCATAATGTCTGTCAAGTTGGTAGTGTCCCATGCCATTTTCTAAAGAGCTCACACAAAGGTGGTTTAATGAACCTATTTTGAACAGATTGAGGACATCAAATTAATTTGCTAGTAAAAGCCACATGTCTTTATCCTGTATTTATTCTTGGGGTTTGTGGCCTAAATTGGTATTCTTTCCTTGGGTCCCTTGTTCTTATTTTCCATACAGGAAGTATTACACTAGTTTTGATGATAATTGCAAAAACTGAGGAGTTTGTGGAGTTTGTGTGCTTATATGTGTGATAATGGCTTAAAAAATGAGACAATATGAGAAGGACTAGAATTCTTTCTGTATGGAATGAAGTCTTGTTACATAAATGACAGATGACGTTTTATTATCACCACATAGCTAAACTTTGTCTATCACATCCTGTCTCCCTGTTTTTCTGAGAAAATATGTAAATTCATATAATGTGCTTAAAACAGAAGCATACAAAAAATATAACTGTAAATCTTCTGGTCAGTTTGAACATCCAGAAATTTACTCTGTTCTGTTGTCCAGATGTTTTCTAGATTCTGTATATGGCTCCCAGGATCATATACAGGCAGCAGGCAGGAAATTTCAATTGTACTGCGGGTGCCAGCTTAGAGGGTGATTCCCTTCAGTAGCAACAAAATTGCAAACAAGGAGAGCTGGGAGTTCGGTGGGTAGAGGTTCCTACCTTAGAGGCACCTGTGTGGGCAGAGAAGTCACCATGAGATAAACCATTAATCATGGGACTTACACTGTGAGATGCTTGTTTTAAGGTCTGGAAAGTATGAATTACTCCTTTTGTTGTAGCAGTAGTAGTGCTAACAGCTTAGGAAGTAATTTTTTCCCCACAAAATTATGGTTTGAAAGGAAGCTAACCATGCACGCCTAACCTCTGGGAAAAGTGTGGAAACAGAATGACTAAACCAGGGCTTTGAAGACATACAAATATACTTAGTTATCTCATTTGGGATCTTTGAGATTTTAATGTTTAGCCTATGTGGTTTCTGTATGAGCCAGATAAGTGCAGCATCAAGGGAAGTAAATAATGCAATCTGTCCCCAAACCACAATACTAAGCAATTTTAGCTACAAAAATACATTTATTGTTTTCAGTGGTAGGATTAGTGTATGTGCTCCTTGCAAAGCAGTTATGTATTGACAAACACTTTAAAATCTGTTGATTCTGTAGCAAGCCGAATACCTTTTTAAGTTTCATCCTCATATATGCACATGCATATGTGAATTATAGATTTGTCTTTATGGAAAATTGGAAAAAAAGATGTGTGTTGTTTCTATATGTAACTATATATACAGATGCACAGATCCATGCAAAGGGACTTTTAAATATTTTGGTCAATGAAATGCATTTTTGAGTTCATCTTGATAATTATTATTCTTGGTGCTAATAGTTATGTTTTAGGTTTGAAGTACCTTAAATGTATTCTTTTCAGATGGAGGATTTCATTGCTCCATAAGAAGACTGTATCTCTTGCTCTCAAATATCTGATAGCTTCAATTTGTGGGGGGATGTCATTCACAATCATTTTCTGGTATAAAGTTCAGCATTACGGTTTGCTCATGTGTAAACAAAACCTGAAGTTTTATCTTCGATTAATGAAGTTAAAACATGTTAATATAAACCAGAATGAGAAAACCAGAAGCTGCCAACATTAATTCTTTTTTTTTTTTATTATTGCTTTTGGAGGTAAAAAGAATGAAAATATCCATTATCATCAATTTGTTTTGATTTCCTTACTTCTCCTTGGAATGGTTAAGTTTTAATCCAATAGTTTGTGTATTTCTTTTTTTTTTTACATTGAAAGTGTCTATAATTAGTACAAAAATACGTGAAGATATGGTCAGCTTTAGGAGATGTAAGCATAATGTGTTGTTTTGTTTCCAAAGAATATGTAAAGTCACTTACTAGGTCAAAAAGACTACATTAGTATGATGGTGGTTAACATTCCACGGTTCAAAGCAAACACTAGTTTCTGCAGGTTTAATGGTAAATGTTCTTTGCCATTTAATATTCATGGCAGTTTATAAGAATGCTCAAAATAAAGGAGCCCATTAATTATCATAAGTCAGTCTGGCTTCTGGTGTGAGGATTTTGTTAAAAAGATTATTCTGAGTTCTTTATTTATCTCAGTACCAACCTTAAACGATGCACGGCTCTTTTTTCCTCTGCAAGTTCAACAGTGGCCTAAAGTACCCCCTTGAGAGCATCCTTCACTAGCACATTGTGACAGACTGGTCTGTCCAAAACACCCTGCCTGTGGGAGGAATTCAAGTGGTGTTGTGCAGCTGCTTTTGCAAAATGCCTGCAGTGTAGTGTCCTCTCCTTCAGTAAAGGGAGGCATCTTCCACCACACACAGGATTAATTAACATCCGGTGTAAAGGCTCATTGCAACTCAGATGTTGGCAAATAACTGAGCTGTGAAAGTTTTTCACTCCATCCATTTTAAGTGAAGTGAAACTGCTGTAATTCGATGTAGGAGGCTAGGTTTGTACTTTGTAAAGCCCTGCCAGTTCAGGTAAGGTTTTGAAAAAATAAAATGAGAGATGAATAGGACTTTGTGTTCTTTTTTATTCAAGCAGAGAGGTTCAGAGAAGAGTAAGAGAAGGAAGAAAAATCAAATAAAGGTGTTCATCTTTTGACTTAGTCTGAGTGATAGCTTTTATAAAATTCAATTTCAATAATTTACTATAGCAAGATAAAAAATAATATTATTCTGTGAGAATTTTAGAGACAATACATATTTTAGAAAAGTTTTTTTAACCTCTCTGCATCTTTCCTTCCTTCATAATACCATAACCTTTTACCCTTTTCACTTGCATCTATACTTTACGAATAAATTTCAAGCTCATTCTTGTTCTTATTGTTGTCAGCTCAGTGTCTTTGGAGATCACAGCATGAATACTGACCTCTCTTGTAAATTCTGCTGTTTCTGGGATCACAGGAGCATAAGTTTGTTTTTTTTATTATTCAATAAATTATTGTTCATGCTGTAGACCTTTGATGCAAATTGTGCAACCTTGCAAAAAAACTGAGAAGCAGGAGTGGAGAATCCCAAAATATTTGAGGTGAATGTCTCTGAAATGAATGCCTTGCCTAGTGGGAGAATGACACATATGGGATGGAGTAGCTAGTTTTATGTGGATGCAGGAGAATAAATGATTTCCTCATACTATTGGTATCTTTCTGGCAGGAACATATGTCATACCTAGTTTATAGAAATACACCTCCAACGTGTTTCACTCAAGACTTGTTTGTGTCAGGTAGCAGTAGACAGAAAGACAGACAGGCTTTGGTGGAGCATGTGAAGAGCTGCCTGCTAGGCTGAAAGTTTTTAGAGGTATGAAAGCTGACAGATATGGCACAAGCTCATGCAATTGAAAATAAACCAGTTATGTCTCAAACGCAGACCCAAGCAGTGTAAATTCTTTGTATCTCTGCTACATCGTATTTTTGTGAATAACTGTGGAGAGAGAGGATGTTTTAATGCCTGAAATGTTTTCTGCTTGTAGCATGATGGGAAGCACATTCAGTAACCTCCAGGTGAAGGAAGTGGAGACACTGCACCTTTGAGAGTTACAGACATGCACAGTCAATTGAGGTGAAAGTCTGTAGAAAGGATGGTTTAGAAACCTTTGTTCAGTTTTGCTGTCTGCTATGTAAGATTTATTTTCCCGAGTGTGGGTATTGGTGGAGCAGACTTAAGGGTGCTTCAAAGTCAGAGTCTCAGGTTGGGAGACAAGAGCAAGAAAATAACAACAGCAATAATAATAATGACAACAACCCCAAGTGAAAAACCAAACCACAAAGAAATGGGTGAAATTCTTGAGATTACTTCCTTCTCTGGAAGGAAAAAAAATTATGAAGAGTTTCAAATTAGAGGCAGTATTTTAAAAATTATAAATGTAGAAATAAATGGACTTTGGAATAAAGAATAACCTGCCAATTGTCCCCTGTCATGTAGAGCAACCACCGTGGTTCTTTCACACATATGGAAGATGATTTCTGCATAAAAGTGACAGCATTAGATACAGCTTTTTTTTTAGGAGATTTTTATGCTTACTTGAGTTATAGGAGTATTTGAAAAGTTAATTTACAAGAATGTTTTCCTTTTTATTTGCTGACAAGAAAATGAAGCACAAATAAAGAAGAATGAACCATGCAGTAAGGTAAGAAGCTGTTTTCTTGTTTGCATCAGGTTTTGTGATTTTTTCTGTGTGCTAATAACACAAAACTATTCCATTTGGCTTCCAAAATTAAGACAGTTAAAAACCCCTAAAATGGTATCTCTTAGATAGCTGATCAAGCCTGGGATATACTAAATAAAATGTCACAAATGGCTCTAGAGAGAACTTTCTTAATAGAATAAATTAATACAGATTTTATCATTAGTTATATGTTTCTTATAAAATATGAGAAAAAAACATATAATTTACCTACTGCAAAGCATAAAGAAATAAGTTACATAAGATGGGAATTTAAGAAGACTCTTGTTTGAATGTACATTGGTGTAAATCAAACTTATTCTTTTATCAGGGATAGAATAGCTCAAGATCTGGATATGGAGTAGATTTTGATCGAGAATCTCAAAGGACCTGCAAATTTTGTCTACGTAGCCTAGCAAAGAATTATGAACAAGGTGGGTTTTCCATCTGTCTCTCCCACAAATATGCAATCTTCTATGAAGTGGACCATGAGAAAATTAAACATCAGATTCCTAATGAAGAAAACCCAAAAAAACTTTGAATGAAATGAAAAACAAACCCATGAAAAATCAAAAAAAACAAAACAAAACCCCCAAAAATTGTGGGGGCTATAACCAAAACAAAATGGAAAAAATTAGTATTTTAACCCAAACTGCGCTGTTTTACATCACTATCTAGTGCGGTAGATAGGGACAGGCGAACGGAAGATCTCGGGATGTGATGGAAAGAGAGACCCTTCCCCCTTCTCCCTGCTTCACGTTATCTATCACCCCAGAGCATGTAACCACACCTAACCCAGTAGTTTTCCACTCCCGACTAACCTAGAGACCCTACCAACCCCCCCCTGACGTAGCAAAGTCCCCCAAGACTATTTAAACCCATGAGATAAGATAATAAACGCTTTTGACCGTCCACCACATTGGTGTCAGCGTGTGTCATTAGTCCGAGTAGCCCGGACAGGCCGGGCTGCCGTGCTGTCGTCTTGCAACCAGGTCGCCGTTGTCTCTCATAAAGGCAACAATTTAGAGTATTTGAAGTTCTATCACTTACAGTATTTTGGACTAGATACTAGGCTAATATAAATTACTACCAAATATTTGCCACCGCTACAGCTTTACACTGTCACCTCTGCAAAAGAAATTGACAAAAGTCACAGGGAAAGTGAATCAAGAAAGGGAGAAGAAATGAAGAAGAAGAGTATAGACCTACAGGACACTAACTTATACCCTTCCCAGTGCAAATGATTTGAAACCAAAATGAAAATGAAAATTGACCTTGTCTCGGATCTAGACCTGTGTCTATACATCACATGTAGAGACTCATCTAAGCTTTAAAATCCAGCAGGTCTCTTTCCAGAGATGCTGACATTCCTTCCCACTCTATTCATAAAGAACATAGATAGCTGATAGCTAGCTCTTGGCCTGCTGACATTGTAAAAGAGCTTAGAGGTTTTCTTAATAGAATTCATAATTCTTATAGAATTCAAAAGACAAGAATAAGAAAGACAGACAAGCACAAAACGTAAGTTTCTATTAAATAGCATAGATGGAGAGAGTAAAATATTGAGAGCAATTGGTGCATTCTCAACTAGAAACAGCCATTCCACTGAAAAAACTCCATAATTCATCTATTGTTGGAGTCACAACTGTATCAACACCACAGCATAAACTCCTACTTTCAGGTCATATTTTTCAGCTATAGTCTGTGTACTCTGTTAAATAAGGAGAGATTTGGGATAGCTATATGATTTCAGTGTGATATAGGATGTGATTTATGACTAAATCATCATAAATTTCATCATTAAAAAAAAAAAAAAAAGAAACCTGGCAAGAAGTCCCACCCCAGTTACTTCACCCTATCCGAGAGTCAGTGAATCTGACAAGCATGTGGACAGGTAGGATGTTGGTCAGTTTGGTTTGAATCATGCTGGAAAGTAATTCTGCTGAAAAATATCTCCTAAAAATAGACCTATAGGATTTCAGTATGAGATTAAATTTTGGTGAAGGTATTCTGGAAAAATTAGTCACCACAAATGAATTTCCAGTAAAGGTTTACATTTCAGTTGTTTCTATATGCTTTGTATTTGGCTATGAATTTGAACATGGAATAAATCTCTCAATTTTTACCTACAAGCACACAACATCTAAGGAGGAAAACAGGAGCATTTACAGCTGCATGCAGGTGCTGTGGTGTGACATTGAAGTCTGCCGAGTGACTTGCCAGTAATGTCTCCTTCCCTGTCAGCCCCATGGGGAGAGGAGAGCACCAAGAACTCTGCAGGAAGTGGAAGTTCTTGGTACTGTTTTTAAAATATGTGTGTTCTCAAACTTTCACGTGTTCCCCAAGGGGTTAAGTTGCTATCTTAAATCTTTACTAAGTAGTATGCATCTGTGAAGAATGTATGTAGAATTATGGAGAAATGTAAGGTCCACTTACTGCTTTCTGGGGAAGCCTGGGAAACCATATTGCATGATAAGAGAACTGTTCAGGGCCCTGACAGATACCTGCTTCATGCAGTACATGTTTTCTATGCAGAAAAGTCCTCTTTCTAGCAGAGGGTGTGACATATAACTGAGATGGTTTATGATAAGTTGCTCAAAGGTGCAATTCTATACATGTTTCTTTCCTGTCCAAATATATTAATGACAAAAAATAAACATAATTACATTTCAATTATTCATAGCAAAATCTATTAGATATACTAAATATCTTTTATTTCCTGTGCTGTAGCTTTCACCATAGGCTATGTTAAATTTAATCATCTTAGGCTGTTAAGAGCATACACAACAACATTTGCCACAATAACTTGACTGAGTTTTAAACTAAATTTAAACAGCTCTCCTCCTTAAGGGCTATTTGTATTCCCATTGTGTTTACTGGATGGGACTATTGTAATAACAGAAATAAAAATATAATAATAAAATATCTTTCTCTTTCAATCAACTTGTAACCTCTCTTACTGAAGGTTCCCTTTTTCCATACTGCCCTTCAAGAATTTGAATGATAAGCTAATTTCTCCACAAAGAGCATCTCCTGCGATAGCTTAGGACATTGCTTTAGGAGCAGCTGGGAAAGGTCTCTGCTTTTCATCAGATGTGACTGGAATTCATAATCGATATGTGCTATGAAGAAGACAAAAATAATCTCTGAACAAAAACAAGCTGGGGTGTTTTTTTTTAGCTTTGTTAGCACCACACCTACACATGGACCGTTATGGACATACATATAACATTCCTCATTCAATTTTTTTAACAATAACACATTTATCAAATAATTCAGGAGCTTCAGATATGGGAAATCAACTACTTGAACCATAAATATGTGTGTACATTTTCTGCTGACAGTGAACAAATAGGAGATTTTAATGCAAAGCCAGTACATTTTGTATGCTTGTAAGCACTTTGATGCATAACTGCATAAATGTGACCATATCCCTCTTTTAAATGAAGTAGGAAGTTCAGTGTAGCATTGTTGTAATTATGTCCCTTCTGGTCTAATTGTCAGCCAGTGCTCTGTGGAGTGTATTGGACTTGGTTAGAAAACACAAAAGAAAAGGTGTTGGGTTACAAAAGATACCTGCTAGGGGTACAATTCATTGCAAAATGTCAGGACAGCAAAAGAGTCCTGACATACCCTGAAATCTGGCAGCAAAGCTCTCTTCAGTGCATCGATTCAAGCTGAACCTGACTGAGGCACACTCAGATTTATGAATTCTTTAAAGGTCCAGTAAGTTTGAACTCATTTGCAATTGAAATAAAGTGTTATTTGAAAGTCATTCTCTAAAAAGGGGAAAAAAATTAAGAAGGAAGAGCTTTTCTGCTGAAGAGACTCAGGCAATTAATTAAACCTCTTCAGGAAATAGCATAAGGGCTTACAAATAAATAGTGGTTATTATCAGGAACAAGAGCAGGACAGCGACATTACTTTCCAGTGACAAATTAATTGATTTCCAGAAATTTTTTCAACGCATAATAATATAAAAGCACTAGATATTTTAATAAGGAAGTAAAACAAATTGTTTCATTAGCAGAGTGGGGTTGTTACTGTACATTTATGCTTGTTCCTTCTATCTTCTTGAGTGGAAATACCACCTCTTGCTCTACTAGAAGGTAGAATTGTTCAAGGTTTCATTTTAAATTACTTTACAAAGATTTACCTGGGACAAATGGATGTTGAACCTTTTTATCTTGCATACCTGTAGAGTTTAAGATGCAATACAGATGGAAATATTCCTCCTATTTTCTGTTTTGAAAAAGTGGGGGGACAAACAATTAGTAGCAGAGCTGTTACATGTTGCATGGGCTGTCAGTGATAAGAGCATTGGAGGAGGAACATCATTTCATCCGTTGAACTGATGGATTCTGTCACTGATTTTCAGTCCAGTGTTCGAAAAGATATTTAATCAGTATTATCATATATAGTGGCTGTGGATTATTTTTGCATCTATCAATGAATGCATTTTCAGCACTCTGTAAATCAAAGTTGTCAAAAGTTCTGTGTCATTTTCAACCAGTTAACAGCAGGATTCATTACACTTTATCCATCTAATAAGTTAGATATGTCATCTAATTTGTATATCCCTATGGTAAAAAGAGAATCTCTGTTAATTCCGTGCTGCTGATACACATTTATACAGGGTAGGATGAACTGCTGTGTGGAGATGTCTTTTTCTTCTGCTGCCTACAGAAAGTGCCTGGACAAGTAGCTTAGACTAAGCATAATCTTTAAAGTTCATGTGAGATGAATAGCATGCTCAGTACAGGTGAAGTAGCTGTGATGTCCTGAGTACTTTTTGAGTACTTTTTGTCAGTGTATTCAGAATTTATTTTGTTTTGTGGATGTAGGAAAAGCTGTTCACTACAAACCAGACTTTCTGTATTCCCAGAGGTGAAGATACATGCCTTCTCTGCCTAGAGAATATCTCTTTACCTGGACTACTCTCAAGGTTTGAGATTTCACCTTGTGCTGGGAGAGTATTTTTAATTTTTTAAGAATGAGCTGCAGTGGCATGGAGAATGGACACCTGAAATTCTTTTCTATAGGACAAGAACTCTTTTGCTTATAAGTTTCCAGAGGTTGAGAGCTTTGCTGGTTCCAGGACCATACTTTATTCGTAAAAGTTTGTTTTATCTGTGAGATAAAACTTGGAAATCTTTTTTGACCATCTGTCTGCTCTGTCAGGATTTACGTAGCAGCTTTATATGTTTTACTTTCCAATAATGTAGCTCTTAGCACCATCATTTATGAGAAGTCCAAACTGTCTTTTAGGTATAGTTTTTATTAATGTGTTGGCCGCTGTTTTCATTATCCTATATTAATTTTTAGTACGCTTCTTTCATTTTATTGTATTTAAACTTTAAATCAATAAAAAACATAAAAGATCTGTTGCTCAAGACTGGAGGAGCTGTCCAATTTTACCAGCCTCTTTGATGATATGATCTAAACCATAAGCTATTATCACCATTATAACCATAAGAAAATTTTATTTTTTGTTTTTATGGTGTTGTATAATTTTTTGGAGAATGACTATTTAAAAATTCAATATGGCAATGTGGATTG